CATCCCTGACCTAATTCCTCTTCTCAGTCCTTGCCTCCCCAGCGTCCCTCCTCCTTCCCCCCAACCTCCCCTTGGGGCAATCTAACCACTGGGTAGAGAAAGCTACCTCATTCTGCCCTGGCTCAGGACCTTCTGCCTAGCAACTCCAGCTCCGGCCCCCAGGATTTCTGGGGCAGCGGGCATCATCCTCTTGCCGAGCTTCTATCCCCTACCCAACTATTGGGCATCCCAGTCCCTGATGCTGGGCAAGGGACAAGGGGCAAGGGCCGAGTGCTCATCTCCTCAGACCCCTCAAGGGTAGGGCAGTGCCAGCCAATACTCCTGGGCCAGGGCTGTATTGAAACAAGGGGCTACACTGCCGCCACCCAGAGCGGCAGCTAGAAATACGGCGGCGGCGGGGTGCGGGGTGGGCCGTGCATATGGAGGTCAGAGTCGAGGAGGAGGACCAAGACATGGAGGGGCTACAGGCAGAGAGGGGCTGAGAGGCAGGGAGAGAGAGGACTCCCCTGAAAGCTCCGAAGGATCATGAAGTGGTGGGGAGGAGGGGAAGGGGACTTAGAGGCAATGGAGAAGTCCTCAGAGGCAGGAAAGGTGGATGGGGAGGCTGAGGAGTAAGACCAGGGCCCAAACCAAGCGGGACCGGGACGTGGGCCAAGCAGAGGTGTGTGCTTCTGAGGAGGCTGGCCTAGGCTGCTTTATCTCCTTACCCCGTGCCCAGCATGGAGCCTGGCACATCTGTGCTCCAGGCCAGTTGGAAGGGCAGCCCAGCCCTGATCCTGCCTGGGGCGGCAGTGGGCACACTAGTGGATAATGGAAGGCTGGGGGCCATGGGCAAGCCAAAGCACAGCTTAGCCTTCGCTTAGGGGTCAGACCAGAGAGAGTGAAGCCTGGGCCAGGAGCCCCATGGAGAGGGCGGCAGTGCTGGCAGATGCCTAGTGATCCTCAGAGGGACAGGGCAGGCTCTGAGGGAAGCCCAGCCCACACCCAGTGCCCCAGCCTCAGGAGCACGTGTGTGTTTGGCCAGGAA